CCCATTACAAACGAGGCATTTGTTGCATCCAGTGGGGACATAATTACTGATTATAATGACTTATACTGTCTTTTTACACGTTGTTGCATTGCATCGCGCGGCGTAAACATAAAACTCTGTCTGCATTTGTGATCAGAGAAATGACAAACAACAAGAGCTACTCTACTGCCCAAAACTCGTGTTTATTTGAATCATCAGTGGCAAATCCTTTAAGTGAAAACGTACTTACAGTCTGTGAGTCAGAACTGCCGGCATTTTAGTCTAACGTTACTCTCCCAGGATCAGTAAACAGTCCTCCATAAAATGTGCTGCACACATCTGGATATTTGGGTTAAACTACTCTGGAACAGTGTTGTAAATACAACTGATTTGTAGTCGTGTCCTCTTTTGGAAGACCAAACAAAGTAGTTTCGCTTTCACAACGAAAAACACAGTGGCCTAGCGTGAGGGGAAGCCCTGGCTTGGCATGCGCTGAGGCCAGGTTAGCGTGAGCCGAAGCCCCGGCTTAGTGTGCGCTGAGGCCGGGCTAGAGTGAGCTGAGACGCGCCCGGCGGATCCGACGAATGAGCGGCAACCACATGTGACGACCCCGGGCTGAACTCCGCTTCATCCACGGTGAAAGTTGATGTATTCCCTCAGCGACCAGCACAGATCAGCTCTAGGCATGACGAAGTGGATATCGTCCTCTTTTGGAAGACCAAACAAAGTAGTTTCGCTTTCACAACGAAAAACACAGAGGCCTAGCGTGAGGGGAAGCCCTGGCTTGGCATGCGCTGAGGCCAGGTTAGCGTGAGCCGGAGCCCCGGCTTAGCGTGCGCTGAGGCCGGGATAGAGTGAGCTGAGGCCGGGTTAGCATGAGCTGAAGCCCCGGCTTAGCGTGCGCTGAGGCCGGGCTAGAGTGAGCTGAGACGCGCCCGGCGGATCCGACGAATGAGCGGCAACCACATGTGACGACCCCGGGCTGAACTCCGCTTCATCCACGGTGAAAGTTGATGTATTCCCTCAGCGACCAGCACAGATCAGCTCTAGGCATGACGAAGTGGATATCGTCCTCTTTTGGAAGACCAAACAAAGTAGTTTCGCTTTCACAACAAAGCACACAGCGTCTTCACGACATGGCTGCAGCATCAACAATACTACAGTGAGAATAAAAGCCACGCCTTCTTTCTTTGCGTGAACATTTAGGCGGCTTTATGCAAATCTTCCCACATAGTGAGGTAGATATGTGGGGGCGTGTTAGAACGAGCCGTTTTAGGGAGGTGTGGCTGACTCTGAACTTTTATAAAGAATATCTCTTTGGATTTGAGACTTTAGTCTTTGCAACTTTACAGATCTTCTTTATGCACCAAGAGCTTGTAACACTCCAAAGAGAAAGGAAAAATTGAAATCGCATCATATGACCCCTTTAAGACGACTTTGATCTGTCAGGCTTTTCTTTTAAAGCACCGTTTATGGGTGAACTTGCCTGGGTCATACTTCACCCATAATGAAAAAAAAGGAGGAATACAGATTTTAGTTTAATTTGATATAATGTATAATACTATATAAATATCATAATAATATCTAAAATAAAAAGTTATTAATGTATCTTCCAAATAAAAGGAAGCTTATTTTTAGTTGCACACAGTAGTGACATTGTTTTAATTAAATATTTAAATTTTAATTAAAATATCTATCTATCTATCCTATTTTGTAAGTATGTATATACCATGGTAGTATTTGTTTTTGCTTATATATATACATATACATACCATTCCCAATATTTTAAATATAAAATATATAATTGAGAATAATGACAATTACATTAAAATGTCTGAGCACATTTTACTATATAAATATCATAATAATATCTAAAATAAAAAGTTATTAATGTATCTTCCAAATAAAAGGAAGCTTATTTTTAGTTGCACACAGTAGTGACATTGTTTTAATTAAATATTTAAATTTTAATTAAAATATCTATCTATCTATCCTATTTTGTAAGTATGTATATACCATGGTAGTATTTGTTTTTGCTTATATATATATATATATATATATATATATATATATATACACATATACATACCATTCCCAATATTTTTAATATAAAATATATAATTGAGAATAATGACAATTACATTAAAATGTCTGAGCACATTGTAATAATGACAATTTGAAGAGAAAATGTGCCTAGTTGTAATGAAAATAATGTCATGTAAAAAGCCTTGATTGAATTAAAATATGCTTAGTGTTCTTCATTAAAAATTTATAGCTGAAATATGACCAGGACATATTCTTGATAGGTCATTTGAAATGTATTCTTATAGGGACGTGAAACTGTTGTAATTTCTGCTGTAAAGACATTAGAGATGGGAGAGTCACACGCAGTCATGTGAGGAGAGAACAGATGTCTATCAGAACATCATGAACTCTTAAAAGCAGCAGAGCTTGTTTATGACAAGCTAAATTTAAACTTAAGGGACATGCACTGTCAGTAACACCCAGTTTGTCCCATACAGTCAAATACATATGCCCAACACATGCACACACCACCCATCCATCCATATTACCTAATATGTTTTTTCTTGGAGCCCACCCTGTCACTCATACAGCCCCACCCAAGGGCCTTAAACCAGCCTTTGATCCTCTCATCTCACTCTGCTTCCCTTCATGCTTCACATCCCACTGCTGTCTATATAAACACAGCCATCAGCTCAATCAGAGCTCTTTTTGAAAGACCCCTCTACAGCATCTTTCTCTGTCTCGCTCTAGGGTTATACAAATGATATGAAAAAAGTGTGGGTCATGTGTTATAAAAGAATAATGAATCTTATAAAATCTAATGATTATTCTATAAGTTATAGTGGTTTGTATACCTCTGTCTCTCTCTTTTGGGCCATCTGATGGACAGCCTCACCAAATCTGGATGATTCGTAACACAAAATTGCTGGTACATCTGGGATTGTGCAGAATTTCTCCCCAAAGTGGTTGTTTGTTAAGGTTCTCATGCCGTTTAGGGTGTGTTTCTTGGTTTTGAGGATTGTATTGCTCTGCACAATGGAGAAGTTGAGTAAAATTCAGTAATCTGTTGCAAAATGTCCCTTGTGTCCCACATGATGTATCCCTCCCGTTGAGCTCACGGCTGAATATCTGTGTTGAGTCAGAGGGCGTCAGTACAGACTGAACCGTGATGTCAGAGTTTACAATGTCCAAAAGGGTGGTGAGTTTCCACTTAATGTTCTGTTCCCTTTTCCTCTCTCTCTCTGTAGCTCCAGCAGTCTTCTACCGAGCAGCCTCCTTTACGAGATGCGGCACAAAAACACCACATTGAGAAGAGGGAAGCGCACAAGGGCGAGCTGTCTCAGCTGACCAATCTGGTGAGATTTCTTTAAAGTGAAGGGGGGAAAAATGTCAAAAAAAGTCAAAATGCACAAAGAAAGTGAGCGAAACATTTGCTCTGTTCAGAGACCTAATGAGCTGCCTACATGGGGACAAATGAAATGAAACCTCATAAGTGAGTGATTTAGAAAACTCTACACAGGCAGCATCTCAAATAACCCAATTAGCACACATTGATTCCAATACAGTTTGAGGTTACCATGTTGCTAAACCCTGCTAAAAACATCTTAAACTAGCATAACTGGTTTACTGGTCAACTAGCTTGGTCAGGCTGGTCTGTTGGCTGGTTGTAGAGTGGTTTTGGACACTTTTCAGATGGTCAGACTGAAAGACCAGCTGGCCGGCCAGTTAACACCAACTCGACCGAGCTGAGAGACCATCTTAAAGCAGCTAAGACCAGCAAACCAGCCTAGGTTGGTTTCAGTGGGTCTTTTCAGCTAAGGGGGAAACTCTAATGTGCAAAACCATACATAGCCCACACAACTATTGGTTAAAATGGAAAAAATTGAGATGGGAGTAAAAAAAATATATATTTAAATACTTTTGCTTTCACTCTTAAGAATGTAAAAGTGTTCCAAGAAAGTTTTGAATTCTGTTTCAAAAACTGGTGATGTAATTAATATGGGAGGAAAAGCTATATTTCATTACTTTTGCACTTTCCTACAAAAGTTTTGCATTCCCCTGAGAAACTTTTGTGAGCAAATACAAAACTGGTAATGGAAATGATATGAAACTATATTTCAAACTTTTGTGAGCAAACAAAGCTTCTTGTGGGAACGCAAAAGTTTCAGAATGAATGCAAAGTTTCTCAGGGGGAATGAAAATGTTGAATTAAATCTGTTTATAATCCAAAATGGTGGTAAAATTTTGACACGCATGCATTCTGGGATTACATTCACCTTGAAGGACACATGATGCTGCCTTTGAATTTGGCCAAAACGGAATAATTATGATTGATACCTTTTGGAACAGGCTTTGCATCCAGAATGCCTTGCCTGCTGATGATGCCTTAAAAACTCTAGGTATAGGTAGGCTGATCACTAGGTTTTGGAACGCATTTACTGAGTACTGGAAGGTCAACATGAGTCATTTGTGTTGCATAAAATGCAAAAGTTGAACAAACACATCTAATTCAGCGTTCTCATGACCTCAGATGGCATAAGACCTTTCGTTCACTAGTGTTGTAACTCAGAAGGTCAAGTCATACAGGGTCAAAGATCTGCTGTGACTGATTGGCTGCCATTCAAGATGTTTTGCTTGGTTGGTTTAGGTGTGTGTGTGTGTGTGTGTGTGTGTTTGTGTGCTTGTGTATGTGCGTGACCATGTGATAGAACATTAATGACCTCATTACTCTCCAAAGTGATGGGTCTGCTGAAATGTCCTTGCTCTACCCTCTAATTTCACGTTCTTCTCTGCGTCATTAACCGCTTCAGCTAGCACTTCTCTCAGACAGCAGCTGATTGTGTCGACCAGCTGTAGGCACGTAGCTCTCATCCTTGCTCTACCTGACCAAATTAATTTTGGCTTTGTCGCCTGTTGTGTTCAATCGCCCACATTTATCATATCTTGCTTGATGACGTGTTCCTAGAGGCCCATTTATTTCTTTGGCCTGTTCCCTTGTGCTTATTTTTATGAGGGAGAACAGGAGTCTTTGCTGACATGACTTGGTGAACAGTGAAGATGTGTTATAGGATGCCAACCTAGGTTTGAATAAGATGATAAATAGCTGGTATACTACAAGATAAAAATTTACTTGAAGCAAACTTGACCAAGCATATATTATATTATATTATATTATATTATATTATATTATATTATATTATATTATATTATATTATATTATATTATATTATATTATATTATATTATATTATATTATATTATATTATATTATATTATATTATATTATATTATATTATATTATATTATATTATATTATATATTATTGGCAAATTGTTTTATTCTTGTTTTAACCATTCAGATGTCATTCAGTAATATTTAATGAATACTTAATGAGCACATAATATTTAATGAGTATTTACATTAAAACATGTATTATAAATAAATCTAATTACAATTTTATATTTAAATTAAACTATTTTGGTGTCCGTTTTGAATTAAATTGATTAGAAAACAAAAACACAAGTTAGTGTCTGCATTAATGTTTCAAATAACTTTTGTGAAAATAACGTGAACATTTTCCATCGTCATTCAACGTAACATTTATGTAAACATTTGAAACAACATACTTATTCTGACAATTTTTAAAATACATAAAAGAATAAGTCATCATAATAAATTGTTATATTTTAAATGATCAAAAACTTCTTGCTGACAAATCGAGTGGTTTGAAGGATAGTGGCAAAGATTGTTAAAGGTTTAAATTATATTTAGTTTTTGGGGGAGTCTTTTAATGTCATCTAATGATTCTGGTTCTAAGTATGCCTGACAAGATTTTTTGATATATATACTGTTACAATGAATGACATTTTAGTGGGTGTCTTCTGTAAACCATGGTAAAAATGTATGAAAGTCATAATTTTTTTGCTTATAAAAAAAAACATATTTTTTCTTAGAAAACTTGAACAAAAACTTTTAGTAGTTGTGTGTGTGTATATATGTATGTGTATGTATATATATATGTATATGTGTGTGTGTGTGTATGTGTATGTGTATATTAGTGGGTGTCTTCTGTAAATCATGGTAAAAATGTATGAAAGTCATAATTTTTTTGCTTATAAAAAAAACATTTTTTTTCTTAGAAAACTTGAACAAAAACTTTTAGTAGTTGTGTGTGTGTATATATGTATGTGTATGTATATATATATGTATATGTGTGTGTGTGTGTATGTGTATATATACATACATACATGCATACATACATACATACATATACACACACACACACACAAATATACGTGTGTGCGCAAACCCCAAACGTAGAAGTGGTCCATGTACCACTATATGGAAATTTGTATGTTCTGTGATCATTATTTCCTCACAATCCTAATGAAAGAATGTCACGTTACAAGGATCCGATGACGAATGTGGTAATGTACAGCTTGTAAAAACCAGTGAGCTAAATGTTATTGCGTCAGATGGTCGGAATTTGGCTTTAGGCAACTGTAGGCAAGATTTTACAGTCCTGTGACTCTACCAGTGAATTCCCACAAATTTAAAGCAGTCGATGCACGAGACGTTAACATTAGGTCTTTTGTCATCGTCATTGGCTCATGATGGGAATGTCTGTCTCATGGTCCCATCTCTCCATCCGGATCTTCACATTCATAATTATTTTTGGGTTTTTAATGAACATTTGTGTCCCACATGACAGGCAGGCATGCTTTTATGGTGATTTTATTTATTTCTGCCTGGAAATTTAATTCACATGGTCTGTGTTTGTTTAAAGAGCACATATTTTATGGCATCATTACATTTCAGTGTTATTTATTTAAATGACTGCTGTTATGAAGGGTTTGTAAGGCGTTATGGCAGGTGCTAACATGCAGTGTGATGAAATACTTCTGTAAATTTAATTGTTGATTCTATAAACTGATCATTATTAACACTCTCTATTTTCTTTTTTTTTCTTTTTTTTGTTGATGTCTTAGTCTTGCTCCAGTGTGGATTGCTGGACTCTAAAGTGTAACGTTGGCCTGCTGGAGAGAGGGACTAGTGCAATACTGCATGTTCGCTCACGGATCTGGGCAGAAACATTCATGGAGGTGAGCGGAAAACCTTGGTGCCAGCAGTCCAAAGCTGTCGTCTCTAGATTATTACTAATACTGCAATAAATGCAAAGCGTGGCTTGTACAAGCTTTCATACAGCCAAAATTCAGACTCCAAAGTTTTTAATGAAAAGCGTGGCTGTGTGTGGTGTGGTCACTACTAAGTGAGCTAACAGAGTTTGTAAATGTATGTTAAAGAGAGTCAGATGATCTCTCCAAACAGGAGCTCTTTTGAGAGACGCCTTACATGCTCTCTGCAGTTCTAGCCAATATAAAGCTTATAAGTGAGTGCATTGAAAATACATTAGGAGAAACTCTGAGAGCTCAGCGGATTGGAATGTCAGAGGGGTTGAAACACTAGGATTCAGTGAAACCATACTGCCCCCATCTGGATGCATGTGAGATTGTTACATAGAAAGCCTATTCAGTTCAGAACCACCAGTCACATTCTAATGCACAGCCAGTTTTACATGTTATTTATTTAACTTTTTACTATAGCACTTAGACATTTATTTGACCTTCTTTCTGTTATTGATGTTCTTTATTTGCAGAATCCTTATAAAAACTTTATTCTGGAGTGCCTTGCTAGTTACAAAGTGGAAAAGATGCCATATGCCATTTTGCCAAAAGTGACTCCTAGTGGTGCTAAAAAGGTAAACTTCATACCCAACTCATCTAATCGAATTCATGTTCGCCACTTGACATAATCTAGTTAGTTTGTATTAGTTAATTCATCCACCGATCTTCATCTTCTGTCTGTTACCTGTAGATGGTCACTCCTGTGGTCTGGAATAAGCCAGACAGTACGCATGCTGTTCCTCTGTGGATCATCATTCTGGCTATTCTGGCCGGTCTTCTGCTGCTCGCACTGCTGATCTACGTCCTCTACAAGGTCAGTGTCTGCCATTTTTGATTTCTAGTCAGGCTTGATGATCTAGTTGGACTAGCTAATCATGAACAAATGATTTTCCTTTGTAACTTTCAGACAAGCTTGCAACTATCAGTAAAGTAACTAGTAGCTCATCATAACTAAATCTTATCCTGGAAGTAGCTTGTTACTAATTGTAAATGAAGGCCATGTCCACACGTACACGGGCATTTTTATAAACAGTTTTTTCTTCCATTTAAAAAAAAAAAATCTCCGTCCACATGAAAATGCAAATGCATGCTATGAAGCACTGTCAAGAGCATGCCAAGCCAACAGGTGGCGATATAATCTCAACCGTAAAGCCATGTTGGCCAATCAGAAGCCTGAAAAAGTCTCCAGTAGGCGGAGATAACAGTGCAGGCGCCAACGTCACAAGCCCAAAACTCCGGTTTCGCTGTCTACACGACAACACTGCAACCGGAGTTTTTGTAAATCTTCACCCTGGCAGGCGTTTTCAAAAATGTTCGGTTTCAGTGAACTGGTGTTGCGTTTGCGTGTGGACGAACGGCCTAACCGCATAGAAAAAGCTGCGGTTTTAAAAATAACCGTGTTCGTGTGGACAGGGCCTAATTCTTATCCATTATTGCCGGACTGGTTGACCTGTTGTGACAATCATTAACAAATTGAATTAATAAATCAGAATCTTTGAAAGTTAGTAACTACTTGTAAACTAAATGTTATGCTAATCACATGCTGATCATAAATATAATAAATCATATTCTTCTTCAGACCATATTGTAAATAATAAACAAATTCTTCTTCATAGTTGAGTTAACTAATCATGAATAATTCTTTCATAATGGGGCTAACTTTTAGCTAATCATTAACTAAATCATATCCCTTATCGCTAGACTAGCTTGTTACTGATTGTAAACTAATTCTTATCTATTGTAGTCAGACTAGCTATCTTCAAGTTTCAATTTATTTATATAGCATATACAAAACAGCCACATGGCTGACCACAGTGCTGTACAGAGATTCAAAAATAGTAAAAAAAAAAATAAAAATCAGCACAACTAAACAATTTAAAACAGGGTCTCCGCCCTAATAATAATAAAACAGTAAATATAATAATAACACAAGAGAAACAAAGTCAGGTTGTAACTAATCGTAAACTAATACTTATCCTTCGTAAACAATACTTTGTAGTCGAGCAAGCTAGTAACTATTTGTAATCTAAATCTTATCCTTTACATTTGGCAAAAACTTGTAACTACTACTTATGCTTCTTTGTTTAGCTAGGTTGTAAATGAATTCTTATTTATCACCATAGGAATATCTTGTAACCAAGCGTAAATTGATCTCCTTCTCTTCTTGCTTCCTGTAGCTCGGCTTCTTCAAGAAACAGTGCAGGCGCCAACGTCACAAGCCCAAAACTCCGGTTTCGCTGTCTACACGACAACACTGCAACCGGAGTTTTTGTAAATCTTCACCCTGGCAGGCGTTTTCAAAAATGTTCGGTTTCAGTGAACTGGTGTTGCGTTTGCGTGTGGACGAACGGCCTAACCGCATAGAAAAAGCTGCGGTTTTAAAAATAACCGTGTTCGTGTGGACAGGGCCTAATTCTTATCCATTATTGCCGGACTGGTTGACCTGTTGTGACAATCATTAACAAATTGAATTAATAAATCAGAATCTTTGAAAGTTAGTAACTACTTGTAAACTAAATGTTATGCTAATCACATGCTGATCATAAATATAATAAATCATATTCTTCTTCAGACCATATTGTAAATAATAAACAAATTCTTCTTCATAGTTGAGTTAACTAATCATGAATAATTCTTTCATAATGGGGCTAACTTTTAGCTAATCATTAACTAAATCATATCCCTTATCGCTAGACTAGCTTGTTACTGATTGTAAACTAATTCTTATCTATTGTAGTCAGACTAGCTATCTTCAAGTTTCAATTTATTTATATAGCATATACAAAACAGCCACATGGCTGACCACAGTGCTGTACAGAGATTCAAAAATAGTAAAAAAATATATAAAATCAGCACAACTAAACAATTTAAAACAGGGTCTCCGCCCTAATAATAATAAAACAGTAAATATAATAATAACACAAGAGAAACAAAGTCAGGTTGTAACTAATCGTAAACTAATACTTATCCTTCGTAAACAATACTTTGTAGTCGAGCAAGCTAGTAACTATTTGTAATCTAAATCTTATCCTTTACATTTGGCAAAAACTTGTAACTACTACTTATGCTTCTTTGTTTAGCTAGGTTGTAAATGAATTCTTATTTATCACCATAGGAATATCTTGTAACCAAGCGTAAATTGATCTCCTTCTCTTCTTGCTTCCTGTAGCTCGGCTTCTTCAAGAGAACTCCGTATGGCACGGCCATGGAAAAAGCCCAGCTCAAACCTCAGGCTGCGTCCGAGGCCTAAACTACACAACAGCATTCAGAAAACACGTCCCGAAGAATGTTCTTAACCAGAGGCCATCCAAAGAGAGGTTACTTGCTGTTTAAAAAAACAAAGACTAGACTGCAGTAAAGGAATATGGAGGAAAGATCACTGGATCTTCACTGTACTGCACTAGATCACGAGACCCTGAGGACTTAAAGCCAAATGAATGTTGACATTGTTTCTTTTATGTTATCATTTTTCCTTGATGTGGGTTTAACCACCACCTATAGCCTACCACTCACAAACAGATCTTAACCAAAGCTCAGGATCACTTGTCTTGCCTGGCAATCTGCTAAAGGAAAAAATGGCAGCAAATCTACGGATTTTGCCCAAGACCGACACAATCTGCACTAATATTAAGAGTAACATTTATGATGTTTGAATTTTTAACAGTTTCTTTGTTTTTTTCTTCTTAGTCCGCAGCTGCTCATGTGTTTCAGATGGTTAAACGGCATCTGCAGTATAGCATTTTACATTTTTAGCGTGTAGGTTTACACCAAAAAAATCTTCTATGCAGTATTTCACAACCAACCAAAGATACTGATACAGGTTTTGCTCATTTATTGTGCTTTGAGAGTGAAAATGAGGTAGTCTGATACCTCACCGTGGACCCTCATCTCCAGTTTCCTGCTGTCTTTTTTCTTTTTATGAAGATGTTTTAAATGTTTTTTTTGTTTTGTGCTTTCTAATAGAATGGGTTTTCACTTCAAATGAGATGTTTTCAGCTCAGTCTCCTTTGTGTCTTTCGAAGAAAGCAAGCCAGGTTGGTTTCACTCTCAGGTGATGCCGCGGAAAAATTTCTGCCGAAAACATTGTCAGGATCCTTCGCGGAAGGCGATCGTTCTTCCCTACTGAATGTCAGCCATTTCTGTCCTGTTATCGTAGTAGTAACAAGCGACAACGTTGCTTTAAAAGTCATCTGGGACTCAACTGGATCCGCGCCGAGTCTGTGAAACCTCGCCGATGCCTTGAAGCAGAGCTGTGCTTTGCCGTTACGCTAACAGACTCTTGGGTCAAAGAGCGGAAGGGTCGTCCCTCCAAATTTCTGTGGGTGAACCGAGAACCACTGTGGGCTTGGAAGGAGATTTCCGTAAAGTCCGTTTGTCGGTGCAAAATGAACTGACTCTCAGACTGAAAGCAAACCTCTTCCAAGGCAGCATGGTTCATCCATCCACTGAATGTTGAAATACACCTGTATACTTTTTTTGTTGTCTTTTTCGTATGTGTGTCTTTGTGATGATCTGCTTGTGTGTGTTTGGATGTGAAGATATGAGTTTTTTTTTTTTGGTTTTATGGCATGCCACAGTCTGTAGAAATGCCTCCGTACATCATGGTGCTGAAGTGGCCGAATCAGACAGGAAGTAACTGCAATCACCCATCGTGAAACTCCTGTTTCAGCGAGCCACCTAGAAAGGTAAAGCAGCTGGAACTGTGGGATGTGTAGGAAATCTGTATGGAAGTGCAATATTATTGTTGTTTTTTCCCCCCAACTTTTGTCATGTGCATATTAATACTTTATTTTAGTGAAGTTCTCAGAAATAAGGATTATTTGAAGACAACACCCAGTTTGAGGGTTGAAAATTAGCCCAGATGTTTAGATAATTTAAAAAGCAGCATAATGCTGTAGTCTAAAAAATACAGAAACATGACTTAATTGCCAAAAAGGTCCAATAATCTTTTGTCAAATCGAAACATCATGTCATTTAAGACATGTTTTGTCTGTCATATCGTACGTATGTGCAGGGTTTACTAATTAAATGTGGTTGTTTGAATTGGTACAAAATCAAATAACTTGTACATAGACTCAACGTGAATCCTTAGTAATGTTTTGAATCCCTTTTGTACAAATTATTTATTCCTCCAAGTTAGATTTTAGTTTTGAGATTTTTGTATTTTAAGAGGGAGGAAACACTGGGTATGTCTTCATTTTTTTTTTTTTAAACTGCCCCAAATCCCCATTTATGATTTTGTTTTAAGTTGTAAATATGTTTGGTGAGGAGATTATTTTAATTTTCAGCTGATACTGATTTGACATATTTCATCGCCCCATATTGGGGAGAATCAGAGGGATGTTCAAATGTACACTTTGCTTTTTAAAATAAATTTTTTTTTTTTACAACTTATGGTTGAATTGTTTGTTTTTTTTGGGAGAATTTTTTGGAGAAAAAATTGGAATAAGAGATACTAAGTGAATAAATAATTTGAAACCAAAAAAGAAATAGCACCACAAATGTTCAATAATTTATTTATATAAAAATAAACACTTCATTAAGAAAAAAAAATGCATAAGGTATATACTTTTATATAAAAATCCTACAAAACTGTGCTCTTTTCATAGTATTTAACTGGTTTAGCTTAGTGGTATTTGGCTTTTATATACAGCAGCTAGTAACAATATGTTGTTCTCCAGTGCTTGCTCACAATGAAATTCAAAAGTTAATTTTCAAAACAGGCCAGAATACTGTTTAATAAAGAATAAGTGCTGACAGACCATAGATTTATAAAAAATCACTGCATTTGTGCATTGAGTTTCAATAAATTAATGGTCCAGAGTCAACTGTCAGTCAAAATGTCTATATAATGTTTATTTACGGACACGCTGTTCCGGTTTTTGTTCCTAAAACAACTTCTTTACACCACATCATGCTTCTAAAAACAGCCCAAGCCAATGTTGCTTGTTCAGACAGAATGTGGCGAAGAGGTACAGAGCTGTCATCAAAATCAACATTGTCATGGTATACATTTTTAACAGTTAATGTCAGCAGCACTGAAGTGAAATTCTTTGCTCGTGGTGTAGTGTGTCAGATACAGCACATATTAGTCAGCAGACAGATCAGAACACTTCTGATAAGGCATCAAAAGGAAACTGTCCCTTGTCAGCATTTTCCCAGCCAGTGCTTGGCTTTGCATAGTCCACGCAGCACTGATTAAAGGAAATTTGTGAGAATTTACACCAATTAACCACACATAGGGTGATCATGGATTCCATCAATCACTTTTGTTCTCCAATATGGAGCAGGATGGGCTGAAGAAAGGCAGTCTTGCGGCGGCTCAGCGCTCTATGGCTCTGGAGAGCTGAGTTAATTTCTTCTGATTGTCGATCACTTTGAGGTTCTGGATGTACTGTCTTATGTTGGCTGCACTGCGCAGGGTCAGGGACTGGTCTGAATCTGCAAGACATGAGTGAAACATCAATGCTGAATTGCAACGACACACTCATGCTTATTTATTCCATGTTTTCGCATTATATATCATATTGAGGACAAAGAAAGAATAACATACATGTTGATAATCGAATAGCTTGGGCATCCAAGAACATTCTTTCTGTCAAGCCTTTCTGTGGAGATGAAGGCACTGCAAAAGCACAAAAAGACAGAATATCTCTTAATTGCTGAATTCAATTAGTCTGAACTCAACGAAGGACAAGAAAATGAAATTCTACAGTGTTAAAGCAACACTATGTAACTTTTGGCGCTCTAGCGGTTAATAAACAGAACTGCGCAGTATGTGTTACTCCGCAGCGGTGACGACCCGACCAGACTACAATAGTCCAAATATAAGTACTTATTATAAGTGTATCGTAGTGATTTGGAATAAGACACAAATGCGGTTTGGAAGATGCTCACTAACACAGATTTAGACAGATTTGTGAACAATATTTGAGAGAAATAGGCCTTTTGTGTACATAGAAAAAGTCTTAGATCTTTGAGTTCAGCTCATGAAAAATGGGGGCAAAAACCAAAAGTGTTGCGTTTATAATTTTGTTCAGTGTACATTTAGCAAATTTTGAAAATTCTCAGAAAAAGTTACATAGTGCTGCTTTAACACTTTGGTTTCCTGTGAACCACACCACTAAGGGGAGCCATACCGTAAGGTTGACTTCGACACTGTCGAACTGTCTTCACTGTTCTGGCAATCATGCGCTGAAAATAAGGGAAAAAGCACATATTAAATGTGTTGTCTAAGGTGTAGAGTTTAAATGTAATGCAACATTTAAAATCAAAGCAATACTCGCACCATTTTCTCAAAGTTGACCAGTTTATCTGTGTAGTTCTTGTTTCCCTCATGGATAAATGTCATATCTACACAGACAAATGAGTAAGTGATAGATTAAGTTGATTAAACTTATATCCACCAAATCATGACATAAATAGTAAATAATGTCAACTGGATTCAGTAGTAAACTGTACCTTTAAGCAGTAGAGGCATGAAGGGAATGTATGGAGGGCTGAGTTTGGCTACAGCCAGTCTGTAGGCCCTGTGGTTACGGGATGGATCCTACAACAAAGAGATGATTACTTCTCATATAGTACCTAGACATAACAAATTCCTGTAAAGAGCGAGCAGATATATTTGCTCTTACCATCAGTCTTTCATACGCACAGTAGATCCTCTTGGTTTTGTTTGGAAGTCTCTGTCAAGTCAAGTCAAATTTACAAGTCGTGTGGATTATCGTGATGTTTCTATCAGCTTTTTGGACTCTCATTCTGACGGCACCCATTTACTACAGAGGACCCATTGGTGAGCAAGTGAAATAATGCTAAATTTCATAAAATCTGTTCTGATGAAGAAGCAAACTCATCTACATTGTGATGGCCTTAGGGTGAATGATTTTAAAGCTAATTTAAATTTTTGGGTGAACTATTCCTTTAATGTTTATAATATCTTCATGCCTTATAGTCACATTTAGCAGATTAGTGCTGGCCGTTAATATAGTTTACATTTTGCGATGATACAAGCAATCAAGCAGATGAGATTTGCTATATATGGATAAAGTTGGACATACTTACATATGCAGCTTTATATAAAGAGCTGGCCGATTATATTTGTTATATTTTGCGACAAAGTTAATGTAAGGTCATTTGATGTGTTAGAGGTCTTGAAAGAAGTTTGATTCTGGTATTTTACACAGAAATGAAACCGCAAAAGCTTATTTAGACTAGACAGAGTATATAGTTGTCCTTACCTCCCATGTTTTATTGAGCCTCTGCACAGCACTGTTACTGAGCCCGAACATCACTGCGAAAAACGAGTTCAGGTTCTTCTGCTCTTTAAAACTGAAATACA